GGGAAAGAGCGTAACCATTGGCTTGCTCAGGGCAGACATCCTTGCATCAGATCACTCAGAGAATAGGGTCTTACATACACAAAAAATACCTCTGTGAGGACTGTCACAGATTTAATTAGTTGCCCAGTCACTCCAAAAGACGGGTGTTCTTTGGTCTATAATGAAGCACTTTTGTACAAAACATGGTGAAGTCCAGAGTTAACCTGAACCACTTCAGTCCTTCACACCTACCAACTCATGAGAAGGCAAATTAAGAACTACCAATACTCACTGTAAGGGAGTTGTCTGCAAGGAGGTGTAGGTGCCTTGGCTGTGATTGCAGATGGGTCTGTAAGTTTTTCAGATGGTCTGGTAACAAACTGTTTAATAATACATAGGGCAGTGAAGTCATTTGGACAGAGTTGCACTCTCATCACACTTCGTGCAGAGGAGTTTGTCCTGACATCTGTAAACAGTGTTGTCATTGCTGAACTGGTGGTCATGTTCCTGGAAGGACTGAAGAAGAGATCACGATTTGCTGTGGCAATGCATGAGAAAAAATCCCAAGGTAAGTCTCATAACTTTTCTACAGAGTAGGGAAGAAATCTTGAGAGAACCCGCAGCACTTGTTTGAAAGAGCTCAAAGAAAAGAGGGAGAACTTCAGCAAGAGTCCCTTTGCTCCAGGAGGGATGCATAAAGGCAATGTGATTCAATATCCTTTGCATACAAATTACTTTTCCTTCCTCCTTCTACTTCTTCGCATATTTTATCTAGATAGTACAGTGTCCAACAACTCAGCCTGCTTATAGTAGGAAGTTGGATCTGGGCTCCCTGGAAATACTTCCAGAAAAATTTCACAGAGGTGGTGAACTGGAATCTTCTTTGGAATATAGTTGGCTGGAACAGACAAGAGGGGATTAAAATATAAACATTAACTTCACCTACTTACAACTACTGAGTTTCTTTCCATGCTTTGCTGCCAGTTCTAGACACAAAGTCAGCATCCATTCAAATCAAATGAGTTTTGCCATTGCCCTCAGTGGATCAAAATCAGGCTGTCAGAGGAAATTTAAGTGATTTCTCTGAAGTGTTACTGGATAATTAGCTGTATTTACACAAATCACTTTCTATTGCTAATTGAATTCAGGCCTTCAAAATACAATTCCCTTGTCTTTCACATTGCAATCCTTTTGCATTTTCTTGGACTGTCAAGCCTGAACAGTACTCCCTTATTCTGTTTTCCAGAAGACCCTGACATCCTGTCCTTCAAGAAGGGAGACGTGCTAATCTTCACCGAAGACAAAAGGCTGGATGCAAACTCTGGCTGGATCTGTGCCCAGAATGAAAGGACAGGCAAAACAGGGAATGTATTTTTGGAAGAGATCTACATCATTCCTTCTCTCACAAAACCCTCTAGTCAAGTGCTGGTAAGAAAAGCTGAGCACTCTCTTTGAAGAGACTGAAAGATAAATGATAATAACAGTGTTAAATATGATTAAATTTATAACTGGAAGTTAATTGTTCCTCCAAAGTCAGACAAGTTCTATACCTCCCATTGAAGCAAAGCATTTCATGCTGTCCTGTGTGAAAACAAAACTAAACCTAGCCTAAACTCTAAGGAGAAGACTGCAGCTGCACAAAAGCAATGACTTTCAAAAAAACGGTCTGTTCACCATTAGGGATTTCAGTGCCTGGAATTGGTAACAATTAATGGAAACAGGTGTGCCACTGAATTTTCCTGCATTCACACTGGGCTTGATTGGCGATCATACATTATGTCTCAAGGGAAGCTCCAAGTGCAGCAGGTTACTTTAAAAGAATATGCTCTTCAAGGGAGTCAAGGTTTCCCATTGATCACTCTGCTAACAATTTTATCTTTAGTTTTGGAGACTCAGTATATTGGATACTGTGCTAACAAGTAAAAAGCTGAAAAAGTGAGGGAAAAACACACCAGTGATAAGCAGGTGCATTTTTAACAAGTGTTGTGCTTTGGATAATCACACACATCTTGATGGTTGCTACTGTTGGGTCTGTGGAAATTACTTCCTTGAGTCAACTACTCCCAAGTCTTTCTTGAGTTTCTGAAGATGCTGCTTCGGGGACAGGTGGTCTCCTGCAGCACAGAGCACTCAAGCTTAGCATACACCATCTTGCGCATATATACTGAGTAACACCTGACAATATGTGCAGAGACCTGTGTCCATGTGACATCTCTATGTGGCTGTGTCATTCCAGAGTTTGCTGATGATGTCTCCAGACCAGAGGAGGACAGCTTCACAGAACTCCTACATGGACGAACCTGATGAAGAGGATCTAAAAGTGAAGCCTTACACCCTGGAGGAGTTCTCCTATGAACACTTCAGGTGAAGCTCTCTGTATAGTGTGCACCCTAGGAAAGTTCCAGTTGATCTTTAGTGATCCTTAAAGCCTAGGATGTAACAGCATCTCCCATCTCTGATTGAGTTTCTTCTCTTTGTTCCCTGTAATGAAGTGTGACTTCGGACATGCAGAGATTCTGGCACATGGCCTGCTTGTATCTTTTGTCTGCAGAAATGCAAAGGCAAGGGTAGAAGAACCCAGCTGGAATTTTCTCTTCTCTTTCCAGCAGGCCCTATTCTTCGCACTCCTTCTTCAGCACTTACCAGCTAGCTAGGGTACGCAACATCTCAGGCCTCAGAGAGTAAGGGAAAAATTAGTCTAAAATCTCTCTTCTTTTTGCAAGCCTTCTCCCTTCTGGATCTAAAAGAATACATATTTTCCTGTTCTTGTTGACCTGCCTAATCAAAGGAGATATGAGATCACTGTCTTGGGAAAGAACATGCCTAGAGATAAGTCTCTGTGATAACGACCTCCTACGTTCATAGCAATACTGATCCAGTAATTTTATATTGCCTGCACTTGTCTTCATTCAGGAATCCTGAGAAGGAATCCATCAGCAAAGCTGTTCTCCAGAAATCCCGTGGGCGCAGTCAACTGTGGGCACACTCTAAGGAGCCCTTGAAACAGCCCTTACTGAAGACAGCATGCACAGACCCTGATATTCGGGACTTGGCTTGTCAGGCCTTCATTGATATCCTTTCACTCTTCTCTTTGGGACCTGAGGGGGGAAGGAAGAGCTAGCTACCTCCACTAAACTCACCTCCATTTGGATAATACTGCATCCACATTACAGGGCATACATTTACATCAAGGTGGTGGGTACCAACTCTGCACAACTTAGCAGTGTTCCCTTGCCTACAGAGGAAAGGTTCCTATTCCCACCCAATGCTCCACAACTCCTGATGTCACACTTAACTGAGAATGTGGCTTTAGGAGTGAGTGAGATTTACTGCATATGCCCAAAGCAAGCAGCTAATACAGGGCAAATCACAGCCAAGCAGTGACTGCACAGGGAAAGGGGGTAGGCGACAAGCAGGGAATATGTTCCAGACCCTCCTCCCACTGTTTGCCACTTAGACATCAACAGAGTCACTAACATGTTAGGATCCAGGTAAGACTTCCCATTTACCTTCCAAATTGGCCTGCTTTTGTCCTTGACAGCACATTCACCCATCATGAAATTCATGGGAGACTATCCCTCAAAACAGGCACACTCCTCTGTGGAAGTCACTGACCAGATATTTGTAGCAGCTATCCAGGAGGAAGTCCTGCGAGATGAGATTTACTGTCAGATTATGAAGCAACTGACTGAGAACAGAAACAGGTACTCACGTGGGTGCAAATGCCCTGCTTCTGCAGAGCCAGGGCTCAAGTGCAGGTGGTGAGCAGGAATCCCTGCTACACCTGTGGTGGGGTGGGGACAGAGGGGAAGGATGGCCAAATGTTGGAGTGAGACCTTCCCTTCCCCCTTTTTCCAGGCAGTGCCATGGGGCTCACGTTTGCAGAGCGCTCAGGGCCACTGACTGGCAGTGATAGGTCACAGAGCAGGACCGTTGCTTGTCTCCCTTGAGCTGCTGCTTTGCTCCCATCAGCATTCAGTGCTCATCTCTGTGCAGTATGGTGTGAGGCAGGCAAGGTGTTACTGAAGCCCTCTTACTTGCAAGGCGGTCTGTAGAGAATATATGGCACTGCAGAGTTCTTGCATGCTTTCAGTGACTGTACTGTCAGCCCTCCATTTGTTTTAAAGTTTCCTAATGACAGTATTTCCCTCCTGTAAGCACATAGTTCACATTAGATGTTTTACTACCAGCAAATCCTTTTGAGTAGTTATATTAATTAGGTTACACAACTGGCTTGCAGAACAGATTGGTTACACAGGCCCCTGCCCATGCATAAGTCTCTGAAACAGGCTGGTGTTTGCTTCCCCACTCATAAAATTATAATTTGACCTACGTCCAGGGGAACTGAATTGCAAAAAGAAGCTTAAAATAATAGTAATTATTAACAAAATGGTTTGTCTGTTTCTAGCTGTATTGTGTCACTCCAAAAGCTAGAGAAAGAGCTTCTATTTGTTTATTTTCTTTCTTACTGTTCCACAAATATTAAACTTAGTGGAACTTTTACCATGTGTGTAACTATTAAATGGTAAATTTCCTTGCCTGCAGTAAATCTTACAGGCTATTTAACCCATAGTCTGTAACCATGGTGCCAGTGCCATGCCTGATGTACTCTACCAATTTAGTCCTGTGGGTCATTCACTGTTTTGAGAGGGATCACTGATGTGGAAAAAGGAATGCTTGAAAGGTGGCTATTCCCATATATTTTCATTAGAACAGCCAGAGCAACAAATCTTTCATCCTTCCCAGGCCACTGCCCTGTAGACCATGTCGCGCTCTCACACAGACGCAAACACCATGGATCTATAGAGTATAAATGGGATTAAAATAGTGTGTCTTCATCTGCAAAATTAGAAAAGTAAATGGGAATAAAGAAGCCAGGACCTCTTTATTCAGTGGAGTCTGGTGCCCATTCAAAGGTAGACCTGCTGGCTTTCCCAATCAAAACCACTTCACACCATTTAGTGTTTCAGAACAATCCCTGGGACACAGCTGAAGGGTGTTCTGCTCCTGGCTGTGAAGGTAGAATGACTGACCACCCCCTGGCTGCAGAGCCTTTCTTACTGGTGAGGGTGAGATGCCCAAAGAGCTTTGACTGGCAGATTTCACAGGTCCAGAGGCTGGAGGAACTGGCTTTCTGCCTGAAAATTGTACAAACTTGATCTGGAGTTTTGAAGAACAGTAACTACCTCATTACACAATGCCATCTACCTGCTCATTTTTCAGAGCAGGAGCATGCGTAAGGGAAAGTCAATTACAAGCACAGTGCTTGTGCTCTGAGCAATGCTGGCTAGCACAGAGGGCAGGTGAGTACAAACAGCTGATAAAGCACAATCCAAATACATGTGAGCTTGAACAGCAAACTGACAGTGGCTTTCCAAGAGGATAGCACCAGGGTCACTGCTGCCAAGATGACTGTTAAACTGGAGCTTATATTTATTCATGAGATTTGCAACTGTCATGAATATTTATCAGCCAGGATTTAGCATTGTCTTTCCATACGGGCTGTGGTCATTGCACAGAAAACAGCTGCCAGATCCTGTGTGAAGGCTCTGTTGATTTGCAGCTCTCTGCTGAATGGCACAACATACCATGATGGGAGCATGTTTCTCTTCCCTGTAGCTGGTGTGTGGTCAAACAATTATATGTGGCTATAGCAGAACCGTTTGCTTTGTGTTCACAGGTACAGCGAGACCAAGGGCTGGCAGCTCCTTTGGCTCTGCACTGGCCTATTCCCACCCAGCAAGTCACTGCTGAAACACACCCAGAAGTTCATAGAGACACGTCAGAAAGAGACACTGGCCCTGGAGTGCAGTCGGAGGATTCAGACAGTGATGAGGTAAACAGTCCAGCATATTAGCCAGCTCAAAGTGTTAAAAAATCATGAATCAGGGGCCAAAAAGCACACGGGCTAAAATATTGAGACTCTTCCTTTCCTTTCTCTCTTTACATCCTTTTTTTTTAAGTAATCATTATTTTTAATTCTCTTATGGACTTTGAACCACTAAGAGAGGTCTGTGTCACAGTTTCACTTTTTTCTTTCACAGAGTTAGCAACATTTTTAAAAGTTCGGCATCACACATAATCACTTGACTCCCAGAGCTGGGTATTTCAACCATCCTAAAGGGCACACAGCTTCAAATGAAATCCTGCGTTGTCACTGATGACGTCCTGGCCTTGCTTTCTTTTGGTGAGGCAGCATATCCTTATCCCCCTTACATGTGCCTGAGGATTAGTCTTGAGTTTGTTGAATCTCAGTAGCACAGAACTGCACATGTGCAGCTAAAAATACTAGGTTTTACTCATAGTGGGGTGGCACCACTGAAGTCACTGACATCTGCAGAGTGCTAATGTGGCTCTGTTAGTTGCCTGATGGTAAAGCAAAGCAGGTTTAGGAAGACAGGATCAACACAGTCATTTCCTATACTTTGAAGAAATCCAAACGAGCAAAGCCCTGAGACTTAAAAGGCTGCTCACACCAGGGCACTTCTCAGTCCTCTAGGCATTACCCCTGTCCTGGTGAGGGTTGAAGCAACAGGACCTCTAGCCCACAGTGCTTCCCAAGCTTCTGAATGACTTGGTATAATGAACTTGACGTGACCAGAGATAATGGAAGGGCTACCTGGTTTTCAGGAAGGACCCATTGAACTGTAGGGAGAAGGTCTCCCTAGATTCCTCCAGACACTGGAATTACCCAGCTTGACACTCTGAGAACACAGTGCTTTGGCATCAAGGTTAACCCCAGCCTTCTCCCTTTTGATGCTGCTGTGAGTTACCACCTGCCTGCCACAGACCTCTTCAGTAAAGAAGCTGCCCAATGATTTCTCCCTCCAGCTCCTCCATCCTCCCCCTTCTCTAAGGCTGGGTGCTGCATTTGGTCTGTCAGCCCTGTGGGCCAGGCTTGAGGAGAATGCTAACACAGTGGCTGTCCCCGTTGCAGCGGATGGGTTTTGGCACTGCTCGGGAAATGTCACTGCGCATTGAACTTGCCTTTGAAGTGCCTGAAAAATGCATGGAGAGGAATGCTATTCATTGTTTTTTCTGTGGAGAAGACTGAAAGTTTCCTGCCTCCCTATATCATGTGCTATTCATGCTCTAAGCCCTGTTGAGCTGTATAGAGCTGCTTTAGAGTGGAGAAACAGGGAGGGGAAAGCAGAATGGGCTGTTTGGGAGGAGAATTGTATCTGCTAAACTGCCCCAGATCTGGAGCCTGGGGGATGGGAAGAGGAACAAAGACAAATATTGTTTTCTAAGAGCATTTCTTTTCCTAAGATTAAACCTGCACTTGCTTTTAATAGAATATAATAATTTCAGTTGGAAGGGACCTACAACAATCCTCTAGTCCAACTTCTCCCTGTAAGTAACCTGCTCTCTTTGGAAAGGGGAGAGCAGGCAGCTCAAAGGACTGACTTACAGTATGTGGAGTGGAAGTCAACTGAGCCCTTGGGTACACCTTTTCCTCCATAAACAGCTTTACAGCTTCATCGCCAGACTCCTGGCCATGGAACCAGCAAGCACCCTGATGGGTGTTAAAGCACATCTTGCCTTGGCAATGAATTCCTGGCTGAGGCTGCAAGGAGAGATGGCCCTGTGCCTCCAAGCCAAGCTGCTACACTTCCGTGGGCTCCTATGGCCTCCCTCTGCTGCAAGTCCAGGAATAGATGACTGAATAGGCCAGGTCCACACTCCTTACGGTGCCTGTACAGTACCAGAGCACGTGCTGTTCAACTTGGTTTACAGTCAGGTTTTCCTTCTCCAAATGGAACTGCTACTTTATTTAATGGAAAAAAAATTGGTTTTCAAATCCACATGACTAAAGCTAGATGCCAGACTAAACTCTCTTCCCGAGAGATTGGCCCAGTGTAAGAGAGGAATTTGGCCCATAAGCTACAGTGGACAAAATCTCCAAACAGCCTGCTCTGTGCCACCGAGGGCAAGAAAATACTAGCCCCTGAAGGTAATGTGCTAGATTTGTCCTTGCTTTAACTGTATCAAGGTTTTTACGTGACTCAGACTACAGGGCCAGTTCCTTTGCTTTAAAAGGCAGCTCTGCTCTGAGGTATAAATTCAAAGAACTGCTATTGTACAGCTTAAGCGCCTCCTGAGTCAGTGATTACACACCAGCTCTTTTATATATATATATCTATATATAAAAAATGCTTCTAGCAGGCCTCCAAACTTTTCTGGTACTTGCCTCCTGAGCTGTAACTCATTTTGTATCTGAATGCATATCTTTTTGCTGATGCAAGAATTAAATAAAGTGTATTTCTCCTTGTGGCCATTATCTTCACAATTCAATAACAGTAAAGAAAAATATCGCTGAATACATAGAAAGGGTGATGGTACTGGCTAGAAAGGTGCCTTATTCGTGCAACCTCCTTGCAGAGTAGAACAGACTTTTAATATACATGCTAAGACGACCCTCAGTTTCTTGCTCTTAATACATGTTAATGCTCTTAATTTGCATTGGGGTGAAGGTCCATTAGAGCCCGCCCCATGGCATAGTACTAGCATTTTGGATGGAGTCTGTTGTTCGGATGGAATACTGCTGTTCAGCTCCTCAAAGATTAAACAGTCAGCACTGGTCTCTCTTACGATGGTGGTGGCATTTTCCAGGAGTGGCTCCAGGAAGTGGGCACCTCATCCTGTGGAGGTTGAGGCCATCTTACAGAACAACACTAAGATCTCACACAAGATTTGCTTCCCCAATGAAACAGAACAGGTGAGAACTTACTTGTTTTCCCAGCCTTGACTGTTTTCCCAGCCATGATGTGTTCATGCAGGAGCACGTTTCAAGACTTTCAGTGTTCTCATTTCTTCCTCTCCTCTGTGTAACAAGAGTCTTGTTATCTCATAGACATTTGATGTGGGAACAAACACCAAAATCCGGACTCTGTGTCAGAACATCGCTTCCAAATTGCAGCTGAGCTCCTGGGAAGGTTTCAGCCTCTTTGTGAAGATTGCAGACAAGGTAACTCTTCTCAACTATGACAGGGTAGCCAGACTCCTCTCTTACTTACTTACCAGACCACCTAAACAACCATATATGAAGCCAAGCAGCAGAGCAGGTCATTACTGCGTCTCTGAGGGGATACAATCTAGGCTCAAACTTTTACCACCTGACAATTATTTTGAGTCTCTTGAAGGGGCTGGATGGAGATGCAGAATTTCTATCAGTCTACCAGTACACAGGTGGTACTAAAAGCAGAGAAGATGTGGGCTTTCTTGCAGCTGCTGGGATGGTAGCAAATTGCACATTACATACTGCTGGATTCAGCCCTTTTCTACTCAGTCTTTGCCCAGGAGATGTGCTGCACATGTACAGTACCCACTAGTATTAGGGAGAGCAGTGGCTGATCAGCACCAGTTGATTGCTCTCTAGTTTCTCAGAAGCTTGCCTTGCCTGAGCTGAAGCTTGGGTTGGCTGCCTTGCTGAGAGGTCCCTTCTCTCTGGAACTGTGATCAAGGCAAAAGCAGCACTGAGTCCAAGCACAGGGAGTCTCTGATATGCTGTGTTCCTGAAAAGAGGAACCCGGTATGTGCCAGTATTTTACAAAGAGGAGATGGCTAAGAATAAGGTAGGCATCTTCAGCTTGACTTCAATAAGCAGGTTAGAAAGAAAAAAGCAACAGAAGATGCAATAAAAATCCCCACATGAAATGTAAATCATTTGAGCCTTCCTCCTCCTATTTCTCTACTTCTTTCCCCTTACCTCTGTCTTTCCTGCCACAAGTGTGCTCTCTCACTGTAGACAGGGAAAAAAAAATTCCACCTGATACTTGGGTATGTTGGCACAGGCAGTATTTTATATGATCTGCTAATCCCTTCTTTCCCTCCTTCTTGGGAATTGCTTGGCCTTCTCCAGGTGATCAGTCAGAATGAAGCAGACTACTTCTTTGATTCACTAAGGCAGGTGACAGACTGGAACAGGCGGAACAAACCAGGGAAAGATGGTAAGCAGAACGTCAGTATGACAAGAAGCTGCATGAGATGCTGTGTTGAACTGGGGAAACAGCAAATTTATCCAGTAGGATTTACTTCATCTTGGGAAGTGTGTGGCAGAGTCTTATTATATCATTTTTGTTTGTACATACATGGTTACTGCCTGCACCAGCGGTAAGATCCAGTGACCTGATGCAGCGAAGCACTAGCAGAAACACCAGAACATCTTGGGGGGGGGGGGGGTATCTCCAGGAATTTTAAATTGGTACTAAAGATTTTTTGACCCATTGCATCCAAAACACACAGCTGGATGCACGCAAGTTAGATAGGTTGATCCTCTTTACAGTCCAAGACTCATGCATTGCCAGATTAGGTATCAGCCAACACATGTAAATAGGTTCTTTACACAGTATCACTCCCATTCCTTGGGTTGTTAGGAAATTGTGGTTTAGATTATTACCTGATGATACCAAAGCACAAGTTGTATTGCCAGGGGAACACTTGTTAGAATAAAACAATATAACACTAATGACAGCAATTCTTTGCACTTCACCCCCATGTATAACATACATTTTGAAATCTACATCAAACTCAAACTCCACTCAAATTTCATATTCATTTATCCTGAACTTTTCTTATTTCAGGACAGCTGAGGTTCAACTTCCTGAAGCACTACCTACATATCTAAGACTTTATAACTTCCCCCTTCTCCCCACAGCTGACGCAGCTGCTAGGAGCTCTGAAAATCACAGCATAAAGATGTGGGTGCCCTAAATCACAATTCATTTCTGTAAACACAACCATCAGGGAATGTACCTGCATCAGTATAACAGAATTCAGGTGTGCTGCAAATCAGCAGACAGCTGTCATGAGCATCAAGAAATAACAAACACTCATATTGCTGGCATACTCAACTTCTTCCTCCATCAGACCTTAGATCACTGCATGATCAGTGTCCAGGAGCTGACAACTAATCACTTTCTTGGTCATCTAAAATGGCCTTTTGTACTTTTTTGTTAGTAATTCTGTTTGTTACTGTTAAAACCAGAATTACATTTCTGAAGAAACTTAGAAGCCATTTAAAAACTGCAGAACTCTACAGTGATACAGAGAATACTAACAAGATGTTGTTTCCTTAGGCGCTGGTATGTCTGTGGCTTATGAGGTGTACTTCATGAGAAAGCTGTGGCTGAATGTAACTCCCGGGAAGGACCTGAAAGCTGATTCCATTTTTCATTACCATCAGGTAACCAGCTCCCTAAAGCATAAATATAACAGCAGGCAATATGATCCAAGAAATACTCCTAAGAAAGTAAGCCTGCTGGAGTATTACCATCTCCCTCACCAAGGCCTGCATTATAGAGCTTCCAGAGGAATGCCTCTAGAGGGCACAGCTCAGCCTCAGCAGCAGATTTGTTTCTCACAGTGTTCACACCTTAGCTATATTGCTTATGTTAGGAGCACAGCTCCCTAATCTAATTGTTCCCTGGAGGTGCTCGTCTTACTCTGTAATTGCATGGAGAATCACAGAATGGTTTGGGTTGGAAAGGACCTTTAAAAATCATCCAGAGAATCTCCAGAAGGAGTCAAAAGTTCTTTGGATGCCCTTGAACTGTGTTTGGCGAGACTCATATCCTGACCTCACAGATTTAGCATGCAAAGTCAGTGTTTGCTTCAGCCCATTCTGTCTGGACTCAGAGCTGGTCTCTTCCAGGAGCTGCCGAAGTACCTCAGAGGCTACCACAAGTGTTCCAAGGATGAAGCTGTCCAGCTGGCAGGGCTGATTTATAAAGTGCGCTTCAACAATGACCGCACGCAGCTGGCAACCATCCCCAAAATCTTGAAGGAGCTGGTGCCAGACAATCTGCTCCGAGCAATCTCACCGGATGAGTGGAAGAAGGTAAGAACATCAGCTTTCATTAATCATGCTACTTCCACAGAGCTTTATGAGAGAAGAAAGACATAGAGACACACTACTTTTTTGATCTGACAGTCTTTGAAAGCACTGTCAAGGGATACTACTGGATGTTGCTGTTTTGCCTCTTACAATTTAACTTTGCATCCTCTTTACCAAACCGCTGAAAGATATCTGCAGGCCTGGATGATTGATTTGAGATGTGCATTTTTCTTGGAGATACTAAGCTATTTTCAGTGCCCAGAAGAAGAGTTAGAGATAGGAAAGTCAGTAATGGGACTGGGCATTTGAGGATCTTGTAGAGAAACAGAAAATTAAGATGCATCCTAAATATTTCATGGTTTAGCCAGCAAATCAGTCACCTTGCACTGTGTGCATGCTACTCTTAGCAAAAGGCTCTTTTCTCCACCAAAAGGCAAGAAAGTTTCAGCAGGTGCTTATCACTTAGTCCACTGAGGAAGACACAAGACACTATTTCAAATACAGAAGGAAAATTCACCCTACATGTTTCAGCAGAAAATGTGATTCGTGTCTGTGGGTGTTGAACACTGGCTTTCTGAATTTTGTTTCATCCCATATTGCCCCTCTGCCCTGAAATCCATTCCCTTGGGCTCCTGGACTTCCTTCAGCCAACTCATTAGTAAGGAAGACTGGGGAGGTTCTGGCTCCACCTTGCCCCATGGCGTGGTAGGCTATTTTCATTTTCACAGTCTTCTGTTGCTGTGGGCACAAGACTGATCTTGGTGATGGTCTGATGCTGTCTTTAGTGCTAATGCTGGACACTGGAAACCTGCCTGTCTCCAACTGAACAGGCTTTGTATTCTTTTTTCTAAACAGAGCATTACTGCTGCATATAGCAAACATGAAGCAAAAACTGTGGATGAGGCCAAGATTGCCTTCTTGAAAATGATATACCGGTGGCCAACGTTTGGATCAGCCTTCTTTGAGGTGAAGGTAGGTTTAAAGGCCTGTATGAATGGCTTTTGTAGTAGACCAGCACTGGAAGATATGGACTGACTATAATTCCATATCTGTGGAAGTGAGAATGCATTAGAAAGCTGGCTTCCCATGATCTACTGAGTAAAACTCAGTTCCTTGGAAGTGAGGAGATGGGTATTTTATCCCTTCTGAACTATGCCTGTTATTTACTGGCTATGTTGTTGTTCCAGATGGGGTCTTTTAGTTATATAGATACTGAACTGTCCTGTCATTGCTCTCCACTACAAAATGCTGCCCAATCTTTTATCTCTGGGGACTCTTCCCTCAGAACAGAACTGTACCAATCCTCTCATTCTGCAATGGATACCTCTAGGAATCATTTCCCACTTGCTACCTTTAATTTCTCCTCACGAGACTCTTACTGGGTTGCAACCAACCATTAAGCCTGTTATCAGATAGCCTAGGAAATAATGGACCTGATTTTGCTTTCATGTAGCAGCTACTCAAGTCATCAATATATGGCCAAAAAAGTCATCCTTAGCAATAGTTACATAATATTGAACACTTTTATGTGTCAGTGTTTATTTGGTAAAGAGAACAAGCAGCACTGGACACTGTTAAAGGTCACTATGCACCTGATATGGATCATGTCTTCATTTTCTGGTTATCTTGCTCTGTTACTTGTTTATAGCAAACCTCGGAGCCAAATTTCCCAGAGATCGTGCTGATTGCAATCAACAAGCAAGGAGTCTCACTGATACATCAGAAGACAAAGGTAACAGTTGCTTCTCAAGAGTCTATCTAAGGAAGGATTTAACTGACCATGCTAACTTAGAGACAGCAACAGGACCTTCTCCCTGAATGGTAGGAGAAGATACAGTCCCTCTATTCATTTTCTGTGTGAAACCGAAGAAAATGTTATTGCCTCAAATCACTTTGCAGTTTCTCCACTGGAAAGGAAACAGTGTAGAGCATCTCTGAAAAAAAGAGATGGTAATCATGATGGACCTGGGCAAAGTGACAAGATCAGGCAGATAGATGGACAGTGCACTAGGGAACATGCTTCAGAAAAATGTTTTGCAGGAAACCCAAGCTGTAAGATCAGGTCAAATGACAGTGTTTACCAGCTTTCTAACCCAAACAATCTGGTCTTACCAAGTTCCCAGCCAAAAGTGTTTCCGAGTATCACTATGTGCTTTTAATAAGAAAACAAATATCCAGCAAGTTTTAGATCATTGTAGATATAATGGCAGTGTGCTAAAGCAAAGATCAATACACAATGAAAGGAAGTCTTATTAGAGTGATTAAGACTCACCTGCTTGGTGAAAATACAATATACCACTAGTCTAGATGCAAGACTTACCTTGATCCACTGTGTTTATAAATGAAGTAGGAAAGAAAAAGAATGCTTTGGCTCTACAGCCCATTTTCATTTGAGAAACGTTCTATGGTTCAGGTTTCTTTCCCCTTACAGGATATTTTAACAGTCTATCCCTTCAATAAAATCTCCAATTGGAGCAGTGGGAGCACATACTTTCACATGACAATAGGGAACCTGGTACGAGGAAGTCGGATCTTATGTGAGACATCTCTGGTAAGAAGAGTTTTGTCAACTTTTACACAAGAAACTTCTAATTTTTTCTTTACATCCAGAATTGCTACAAAACAATGGTGCCAAAACAGATGTTAAAACCAATGCAGATAAAAAGAGGATTCACTGCTATGTCAATAAAATTGCAGTTTAGAATTTGTTCAGTGCTATATAATGCCATCTGATGCAAAGACGTAAGCCACGGAAACAAGGAAAAACAGTAATTTCCCAAATTCTTCCCATACATCAAAATTCTGTCTATCTGAGACTATAACAAAAGACTGCACTTACCCACAAAACTACATAAGAGGCTTTTTGTCTTGCACGGTTTGATCCATCTATACAGTAATGCCATCCTTGTCAAGATTTTACACTTTTCAATTAGTGGTACCACCTTTTTAAGAATTGGTTTCAGATTGTCCACATACTCAGACAACCATCACTGTATTGATAGTTAAAGGTGAATTTGTAAAGATGACATAAAAACATTTAAGAGCTAACTTCTCTAAGTACAAGATGCCACTCTATAGAATGAATGACAAGGAGACAGTAGAGCTATGCTCTGTAAAGTTTTGTAAATATATGAAGGGAAGAGTAGAGGGAGGAATAGATAAATAATTATCAAAACAGTGATAGCTGCTGGAAGAGGAGATGTCCATGCAGGGAAGAAATGATAGTTATTTTTGCTTCTGTAGCTCTTTGAGAGACTTAAGACTTTTTTCTTTTCTGACAGGGTTACAAAATGGATGACCTGTTAACATCCTATGTACACCTGCTAATGAATGTTGTAAACAAGCAAAAGAACCTCCCAGCCTGAGAGCGGAAGTAGAACCCATGACCTACATCTGTGCCAAACTACCTGTAATTTCATCTCCCAGAAGAAATGCCATTTAAAAAATATTAATCTTGATGATCAGTCTTCTGATCACACACCGAATGAACTGTGTTGCAAAAATATTACAAGAGAAGCTCAAGTGAGCATGTGCTTTCAAATATGTGTAACACTTGTCTGTCTTAGGTGTAGTATAAGAATTCCATTCAGAGTTTGGATTTAGAGAAAGTTTAGCTTGATTTTAATGTAATATGGGGGTGGAGGAACCCTGATATGAGAGCCTCTTCTGACACTCTAAATCTCTTCCATTCTCAGAGAGAGACACACATTAACAGTTGTCTTCCTTTTGGAAAGAAAACATCCCCTGTTGTATATGTTCTTACCAAATGCATAAACTCCTTGAGTCTTTGCAAACAAAGGTAGTATTATTTTTTTCCTCCTATTGGAAATTCTAAGAGTGGAGAAATGCCCTTTAGTAGTAGGATAACTGGACACCTTGAAAGGCAAGATGCTGGCTTTCATCCTTCTATCACTAGGTTACATGCTGCAAGTTACAATAGACTATGACAGCCAGTTACTGTCAGAATACAACTGTCATTTCTGTGTGCTGCTAAATTAGCAGGCTGTCCACTGGTTTACCATTGCCTTGGTTAAATTAAATAGTTTTCTTTCTTCCACACTTTATAATGCACTTGGAAACTAACAACTGCTTTCTACTATGTGATTTCTCGTAAGCATAAACAAACTCTGAAATGAGTCTGGATTTTGGGTCCATTACTTTTACTCAGTTGCTCCTATTTCAAGTTATAGATGTGCTATTCAGTGCAAATCAGAATCAAAGAACTTGGTCTAACAGACATCTGTTGAAAAGAGACTTCTCTGCTCTATAAAGATGTTCTCAGCTTGGAGTTATGCAGACATTCATTCATGAGACAAGAATAATAGCTTTAATTTCTCCCGATCTTTTCTATTTCCTGTTTAGCAGGCACTTTGAGTGGTAAAATTTGATTCAGCACTTGTTCATCTCTCAGACCTTTGTAAACACACAACGTTGGTCCTACAGGAACCAGAGCGTGCTCAGAGTGTGCAAAGCATATATATGCACTGTGGTGGTAGTAAGCATAGATGCTTACCCCATCAGAGAACAAGTACTCTTTCCTCAATGATGAGCCCTCCCTTGCTCACAGTGAAACATGGACATGTCTTAAAGCATTTACACCAAGTTCCTTGAGACGCGATCTGGCAGTGCTGGAAAAGCAGCTCTGCTAGATCTCTCAAATTTGCCAATGTATGCACAATGGTTCTCTTGTTCCCTCAGATGTGTGTGTGTGAAATTCAAATGCTCATGGGAGTTTTGTACGTGGGTGGCAGGGAAGAGCCCCACTCTCTTTGTGCATCTAAATGAGTGCCACACTTGTCAGAATAGTTGATCCTTTTGCATGCAATTAGATATTCCTGCTATAATGTCCATTGCTGGCAATGGAAACATTTGAGACTAATAACTTTGAGTTGTTTTGTCATCCTGTGTCTTATCTAATTGGCTATAAGTGAGAAGCATTCAATACTTCACCTGTACAAAAAGAAATTTTGCAGCCAACCTGTATTGTTTCTGGTTTTTAAATAAACACTGCAGAAAATCAACCACAATGTCTTTTTTAACAAGAAAATTGAATATTCGCTCTAGATCCATGTAACCTAAACCTACCAAACACCCACTACAGCCTGTGAATGATCATAGCATCCCATCTACTTGTCATATACACAACACAATTTGTACAGCACAGCCTCTAAAAGGACGATACCCCTTTCTGTACATCCTCGTCACCCAACACATCACCACCAAAACGTGAATTCACCACAACAGTGCATCAGATTTGGGCAATCCCCAGAGTTCCTCAGAGTGCGTAATGCTCTCTGGCTCAGCATTGCAAATATAATTTTTTTTTTTTTTACTGTACAACATACAACTTTTTTACATTTGTTTTTTGTGCGAAGATTTAAAATGTATTACAGCTAATTTTATTACAGTAACATAAAAAGGTATAGTATTACAACATTTCAATCCACAATCACATGTTTTGGTTAGACAGCACAAGCAATGTGTGATAAAATGAGAGCTCCACACAGTGCAGAATCCACACTGCTCATCAAGGCCTGAACCAAGGCAAGTAGCTGCTAATTCTTTTACTCAGTCTATACCATCCTCAGCACTTAATGGTGCTTTACAGACTAATACAACTGCGTTTATTACATGTTTGCCTGCAATCTATTCCTTCACCATCCAACCACTTTTTAAAAAAGCATCAGTCACATCATCTAACACGAAACATGCAACATCTAGAAACTCTGCACAGAAGGTTGAACAATATTTGCCTGCATTGCACAGACTGCTGTAAAAATAAAGTCCAGGATGCAAACCCTAGAGAGCAGATTAGGTTGCCATAAAGAAAGATTGCAAGTGATTAACATGCCCTTTGAATACAAACAAGCTTCACATACTATGGTTTCTAAAAGCAAAACCATTTTCAAGTGTACTCAGTGAATATTAGTGATTTTAATTCAGTATGTATAAATATGAATGTAAACTATAAATTTATATATAATGAGACAACAGCTTTTAGTAAGTGTAGACTTCTGAGCCGAGTTCAACCTTGATATAAATCTATACTCTCCAGTGGTGTGATATCTAAGGATGAATTTGGCCAACATGTCTACTTACAGCAATGGAAAAATGCATGCAGCTTATTTCTGACTGAGACCTTGACTTTATTTAAAAAAAAAAAAACAAACAAAAACAAAGCCAAAAACCAACCTGTCAGCCTATCAACACACTAAGGAGAATTCATAAGTCTGCATTATATTCTACTTGTTTTTTAAAAAGTGACTCAAAAGAAGTAGAGGAAGATGCATTTATTTAAACTATTTATAGTTATTTCTCCTCCTCCTTCAATTCCACTGTCCCACAAAAGGTATGTCAGTAGTATTCACTACTGTAACTCTGCACATTGCAGGCTACGGGCAGCAGGAGTATAAGAAAAATAATTTTGAAAAATTAATTATTTAAGAGATACTAAGAGAATATCACCCTCTGCTAATATAGAGATCAGGGATTATGATGATTTTTTTCCCCCACTAATTTTGGGAAATGTTCTGAAGATTAGGACATAATCCAAATCCTAGAGAACTGAACAGCTTATCAAAGAGAATTATATCAACTGTCCTTTGAACACTGAAGCTTACTAGGTCTACTGAATTTCTAACATGAGACAAAGTGAGAGCACACACTAAATCTCTACTTGCAGTACAAAAGTAATTCCATTCACCTCTACGTACATGCGTTTTCCATTGCTGAACTTGAGAGTGGCCACTGAAAGAATATTACCTATTGCCTGCTAATTACACAGTCTTTCCATATTTACCAGTAGCTATGCGGCTGTGTGTGTTCCTCCACCATCTTCCCAGGAGGCTGAAGATACACAGCTGCTCAGATTTACCATTAGACATGGCCTGTGACTAAGATTATAGGGACAGACCTGAATGCTTTATGCTGAGAAGAATCTGCGTAACCTACTGAACTGCACCTAGATCAGTAGTTCTTGTGTTTTATGCTGTGAAAAAAATGCAAAAGAATAGGCTTACAAGACTGGTCTTTGCAGTGGCCACATACTACTGCACCAAAAGACATGCTGCTCTTTGTGCCCTTAAGTATAAGACCATTTAAAGGCTGGTGAGAGAACAGTGACTAGCCATGTGTTCTCTTAAAGCAGTGACAAAAGCAGCTACTATTACTGTAATCTACAGTGCATATTGGTCACAGGAGGATGGAAGAGTTCTACTGTTAAAATTAGGCTTATCCCCTCATCAGTGTTACAGTGGATGCAGTATACCCCAGTTAAAAGTTTATGGTAACTTATGGCAACAAAAAGCAAAGCACCTGAAGGAAATGGAATTAGCAAAGCCAGTAAGTATCTAAGAGAGAGCCACGCATGTGGGATTCTTATCTGCACACAGTTAACCAGGATTTCCTACCTCTGCTGGGATATCACTGGTGCAGTTTCATGGGTAGTAGCTACAGCAACCACGTTAACAGCTATCGATGCTTCAGCTATTACCTTGTTTAGATCTATTCTGAGCAGAGTGTGATGGCAGTGAGGACAACTTTAAGGTAGATTATTGCCCCAATCCAGTTGCTGCTCACACATGCAAGAAGTGAGGAAGCTTTAACTTCTTGCTAGCTAATTCACCTGGGGCTGCAGGGTGCTGCCTAGGCTCAACTGCTGCGTTCACTTGACCTACTAAACTAGCCACTTTTTGGAAGATTTAAATCATGCAAGGGACAGCCATCCTCCAGTGCCCTTCATCCTGTTTACCTCACAAAAGGGCAGGCACAGTCTTTAACTATTCAGGGAAAGGGATTTTCAGGCTGCTCAGCTTAGTTCAGCACAAGAAACTATGGGGGAAACCTCCAGAGGTCTCAGAAGCTCACCATGATTATACAACACACAGGTGGACTCAGGAACAGCACCTCTGATGGCTCACCCCTGAAGAAATATCGAGAATATTCAAAACCAGTATATTTCTCCGCACCTTGGGCTGTACTAGCAGAGACAGTAGGACCAATGAAACTTCACCAGTGATAGGCAAAACTGCAGAGCAGAACTATCTGCTTAAGATATACAGATACATGTCTGAGGTCCTCTCTTTACGTAAACTCAGGTCTTAAGAAGAAAGGTGATGGGAAACTCTTATTTAGGTGAAAATTTTAAGAAAAATACTTCCTGGTTTTTTTCTGCATAAGACTACATTTGCTACAAACTGTAAATATTAGAAACCCCTTCATGTAATTGGGCTTTCTGGAACGTAACCAAGAAGTGTATACTCATCCTTCAAATAAAGTGAGAAGGACAGGGAAACTGAAGTGCTTAAATTGGTACCATATTATCAATTTAATTTGAGTTCATCATGCAAAAGAATAACCACGTCTCCAGCCACATTGCCTCAAGAAATGTCAGTTATGCCAGTGGATAGGACATGCTTTGTGTTGACCACTAGAAGCTCTAATACCCAGGTAGTAGTGGAGAACAAACTGAGAAAATTACACTGTCAGTTTCTAAGAAAATCTTTTGTTTCCCATAGCCACCTCCTCCTTAAGGAGAGCCCAAGTATTCCGAAGGGGCTGACATGGCCTTGACAATTGAAATCTCCTTAGTACTGAACAGGGAAGCAGCAAAGCAAACTTCTTCAGCTGTCTTAACGTTGGACCTAAGCTAGAAAAGCAGGCAGTGCAGATACCATAACTACTGGTTCCTGGGCTTTCCCAGTAAACCTGCAAACCAGAAGGACTGTACAGCATCTGTATATGCTCAGCAGGACTC